GTTGGTTGGCTATGATGACAATTGGCGATAGACGGGTCGTTGAATAAAACAAGTAAAGTTATAAATAATATAAATAAGAAGAAAGTAATAATATTGAAAAATTATGTCTATAACGGCCACTCAAACACAACTGCCCTTTGTTAGTTCGACGTCAGTAGCTCCGGGCTACAGACGAGTAGANATTATGTCTATAACGGCCACTCAAACACAACTGCCCTTTGTTAGTTCGATGTCAGTAGCTCCGGGCTACAGACGAGTAGAATTGTCATATCAGCATCTCCCTCTATGCTAATTAATATGTATTACGAATTAAATAAATAGAAATAAAACGTGTGTAATATAAGTGGTAAGAACATTGTAATAAATGTTCTTACAATACTTAACATAAAATAAAGTATATAACCTTTAAATGATTAATGTATATATTATAATGCAATTGTAGCCTTATGAACTAAGGGATACAAAGAAAATACTCTCTCTGGTGTTTGGGTACTACTTGATGTTAAAGCCGAGCTGCCTCTTTCATGAATCACATGACTTGGTTATATAGTTAATTATATACTTTATAGTAGGCGTATAGTTTCAAAACCAGCTATAAGTGAATTTTTTCAAAACGATTTTTTTTGTATTTTCTAAATGGTCACACTGTACTAAATGTCCAGTAAAAATATTGAACTTAAAAATAGGCTCTAATTGGTTTAAATTAATCATAGAAAAATATAAATTAGAGATATAAATTAATAAATAATCAAGTATTTTCTTGTATTTCTGAATTAATAAAAAGTTTTTTGTATTTTTTAAATGGTCACACTGTACTAAATGTCCAGTAAAAATATTGAACTTAAAAATAGGCTCTAATTGATTTATGTTGCCGCCTGGGCTGTTCTAAAAAAAAGATCCCAAATATAAATGGGAATTAGAACTTTGCCGTACGGATTAATATAGGGGCAACTATTAACCCATTTAAGCTCAGTGACCTATATGTAGGACACTGGTTTATAGGCATTGGTATCGGATCAATTTATAGAATTATTTTCCCCAATCTGTTCTTATCTACTATGTGACAGTGTTTTTATTATATAAAAATTATTTGATTCAATAGAACTGATGGCTTTCATACAAAATCATTACATTTTACAACAGTGTATTTTTCAGTCACCATGGCGTCATTTTCAAAGTAAGTAAAACATATTTTGTTCATTTATAATTTGCATAATCATTTACAAAAACTATTAAGTAGTCTATAGTAAACATATTTTACTAACTGGAGTACATATTTTATTTATATTAAGTAATTTATAAGCATAAAAAACATAGTGTCCTAAATGAAGGACACTGGGTACATCCGTTACTGAAATTATTATACCATACATAAATATGATAAAAATGATAAAACATGAATTAAATATATTTTTATTAGTTTTAAATACAACATATAACTATTTTTTAATTTTATAGACGACTAACTGTTCACGAAGTAACCGAATTATTAGAACAAGGGGATATCGATGATATTTTTGACGATGTTACTGACATATTTATGGAGCCACCCGTAAATGCAAATAATGATATCACTGATGAAGACAGCGATGATGGTGGACCGATAGGTGATATAAACCGCATGCCGGCTAGCTTACTAAATGCACATATAGTTATACACGATTCTGATACAGAGAACACAGAAGTAGCAAACAAACATAAAGTAAGTGGTAATACAGTACAAAAGAAAATAAAACAAAAAATTGCTCATCGACCAAGAAATAAAATAAAAAAAACAAACCAAGATGCTCAACAAACTGTATTATGGCGTGAGGGAGATCTAGAAACTCCAAATATTTTTGTTGATGATCAAAAAACAAATTTATTTTACAGTCCGTTACAACCCTATGAACTGTTTGAGCTATTTTTCGACCAACAAGTGTTGGAAATGATTGTTGATTATTCAAATAGTTATACATCTAATAAAAACCAAACACTTCAAATTGATGTAAACGAGCTGAAGTGTTTTTTAGGTATCTTGTTGTTATCAGGTTATAATGAAGTATCACGAAGACGTATGTACTGGGAAAAATCACCAGATACATATAACAACTTGGTTTCTATTCGTGGTAAAAAATGGTATTCGTGTATAGTATTATACTCTATTGATGTGGCTGTGCAGAATGCTTGGCAGTTACATAAACTCCATACTGAAAAACCAATGGACCTTTTGGCTTTTCGTAGGCACATTGCGACCTATTATCTACAAAAATTCAATAAAGTACCAAATCCTGGTCGAAAAGGAGGAAAACCGTCTAGTTATATTCCTCGATATGATGGTGTAATGCATTACTTAGTTCCACAAGAAAAACAAACTAGATGCGCAGAATGTCATCAAAAAACTACTTCAAGGTGTAACAAATGTGATGTGGGATTGCATTTGAAGTGCAACATACAGTTTCACACATTAAAATAATTAATATTTTCCAAATAGTTTAACAAGTTATTAAGTTATTATTAATTTTATAAATAGACAATTGTAATATAGTCGTTTTATTATAATTAATATAGTGTCGAATTTTGTTTTGTATATCACACCTTATTTTCCCACTGTCCTTCATATAGGACACCTATTATCAAGCAAATTATGGGTAAAAAATTTTTTTTTTTTTTTTTGTTGGTTTCCCAAAAACAAAAATAGTAGAAATAATTAAAAAAAAAGTAAATTTAAAAAAAATTTTAACCTCGGGCATGAATGGGTTAATCAACAAAAATTTCCTATATAATTTAGAATTTGTTAAATACAAAATATTTTTTGTTTATCCAAAATAGGATTGGTTAACTTAATAAATATAAAGAAATAATTTAAATAACAACACTAATTTTTATTGTTAATGAATTAAATAATTAATAAATATAAACACCCATATTAATTACATTCAGTTTTTAATTTTGTTTGAATACCATGAATAAAATGAACTACCATTTATAAAGGTGATATACTACCTGTAGCTTTATTGTAATTATGTTATAATCAATAAAAAATAAAACAGAATACAACTATACGAATTTACAATTATAATATGAACGATATATTTTAAAACGAAAAATTGAGCAAAGTTTTTACTGATTAATACCAAAACAACAATTACTTCAAATGAAAAAAAACAATGTAACTGAAAAACTNATGAAAAAAACCAGTGTAACTTAAAAACTAAAATTTATAATAATAACAACCGGTACACACTTCATTTTGAATAAAAAACCGACCGAACAACACGGTAATAAGCTGATAAGGCGTCTTAACAGGTGATAGCGCACAAGCACTACCACCTGACTACACCCAATCAGTGCAGTTCTCACACTNCTACACCCAATCAGTGCAGCTCTCACACTCGGCGCGAACAGTTTAAATTAATCATAGATAAAATATGGTTGGTATCAAATCACCCATTTAACAATGTCTTATTTTGTTGTTCCTAAAAAAT